AAAAAAAAAAAAAAAAAAAAAAAAAAAAAAAAAAAAAAAAAAAAAAGCAAAACACCAGAAGTTGAGTTTCCAATAAACCCCACAGCTTGCATAGACGGTTTCAACAGTACGGAGTAAGGCGCTGATCAACGCTGTTCGGTTTGACTATTATTTGACCTTCTTGCTAGCTCATTTTCTATAGCTGTCAGTTCTCTCTTCTGCATATGTCAGAAAAAGAACTTACCTCGAATCTTGTCGATCTGCTTTGCGGTATCTTGGAGCATCTGATCCCATTTCTTCTGGTATTCTTCAACAGTCATAGGCTGGGAGTCTGTCTTCTCTTGCGGTTCCTCCTTGGGTGTCTTGATTTTGTCCATGATGAATATGAAGAAAGGCAGAGAATTTGTATAGTTCTCAGGGGCTCAAAAGGGTAGAAGTGTCAGGAGTTGATTAAAGTCAAATAGACGTGCGACAGCAAAGGCTTTATATATACATAAGAAAATATTTTAATTAAATTTCTAGAAATTAGCCAAACTAGCCCTGTTGTTATTCTAATTTCCTTTTAAAAAAAAAAAATTCCCCAATAATGTTTGCTTCGGAAATAGACCGGTCACGCGTCTATCAAGGAACGCGTTCACCGACATCTTCTCCTTGTAAATTGAGAAAACGGGACATCGGACCGCTTAGCCTGGAAAAGAAAAAAAGTACATATCTAATTGACTGTTATGATGTCAGATCATAACGGGACCTAGCGTATGGTACTTCTTACATTCTGTACTCCATCTCATTCCAAATATACCTTCTCTTCGCTAATAGGATGGCTTCCAGCCTACCGAAGTTGTCCCGCACCCAATCGGGGACTGGGGAACTACATCCGCGCCAGCCGATCGGATATCTTACGCTTTTAAGGGGGTGAAAATGGTTCGATACGTATCATATGGAAGAATTAGAATTACAAAGAATAAAAATAAAAAAATAAAAAGGGGCACCGGGGAAGCGGGTAGAACTGGAGTGTTCCCAGTGATCGTCCGATCCCGAGTTGATACATATGTACTTTTAGACGATCTATAGTAGGATCTACTTCCGTTCTTAACAGTATCCTCAGTCTACAACATATAAGTTTCTACCGTACTCCGTAGAACAGGCAACATTCACACATCCTAGTAAACCATGTATAGATCTAGCGACACCTCAGCCACCTCAGCCCTGCAGGGCTGGCTGAACCACACGGACCACTCGAAACCCTCTCATACTATAGGATGTAGTAGAGCCCAACTCGACTACCGGAAGGACATCAACACCCTATTGGTCAAACGGCGTATACACCGCCGATAAGAGCCCCGGGACGTGCAGAGCCGTAGACGCTGTTCGAGAATCCACGTGGTTTTGCATACGCTAGCGCTGTGTCATGGCCGTTGTCCTTGACCGCATCCCTCTAGCCATCGACGGGCCGACACATTCTGAGGCGCTTGGGTACTTTTCGTGCTTTTGTCAAGGTCACGTCAGATGATGAAACCGCAGTTGGGATGTTCTTCGGGCGCAAGCGTCGGGTATCTGATCGGGTTTCTCATTTGATCGGGGCTATGCTTGTTCTTCCCAGCTGACGAATGACGATGATTTAATGTGCTTGGATTATACTAGTCTGCTATCTGCATGGTGTAAGTATTGCTCTAATGCCTGTAGTGCATTATTACTGGCTAGTGCGGTGCTGTTGTTCATACAACCTTGGGACTAGCCAAGGATCCATTGTTGAACTAACCCAAGGGAGATATGATGATTGGTGCAAGGCTACAAGGATGAAGAGCGAAATAGAAAAGCAAGTGGTAAAATAATACCTGATTCTTTTGAGAGATGTCCCTACATGGCCAACCAGTTGCACATTCATTCCCAGTCACACGTCAGGCCAGTCCGATAAAGAAGCGAAAGTAAAAGATAACAAATCGTAAGTTCTGGCGCTGGTGCCTGCATCCATTGGCCAGTTATGTCGTCAACGCACCCCGTCCCGAGGAACCGCCGGGTAAATGGTGTAACCCATGCCCTCATATGCAGCCTCAGCCCGGTTTGAAGAGGGGTCGGGTGGTAGAAGCAGATGTGTGTGCAATGCGCCGATCCATTTCGCTTGGTACAACGCCGAGCTAGAACACCGCGATATTGATCCCACCGGGGTAGATTGTTTCGAAAATATTTCATAAGAGTAGATAGATTCACCTATGACGCCAGGATATGAGATCGCTGAAGAAACTGAAAAAAAACGAACGAAAAAGCAAATTCAAGAGACCTTGATAATCACGAGTCGGAAATTCCGAAACGGAGACGGTGAGCAGCGCCTCGGACTAATGAGAGTCTTGGAGGAACCACTCAAGATCATCAGGCTCGAAGTGCGAGGCGGATGCTTCCGCTGCTGCAATGTCACCTTGGACAACACCAGCGATCCCGTCATCAAAGGGGACCGTAGTCCCCGAAGGCAGACTATTGCGCCGCTCGACGAGGTCAAAGAACTCGCCTGCAAACTCAGCCATCTCATTAGCCACTTTCACTTCCAGGATGGCTTCGAGCACCTGCATTTCCTTTTTCCATTTGCGGTCACGCTGCTCCCTTTCCTCATGGCGACGGCGGCACAAACTGTCACGAGGGCGGTCCACCATGCAATTGGGGCACAAGTAGTGTTCCTCACAATACGAGCATTTGCAGGGTGGGTGGGTGTATATGCAGTCCGCACATACATACACCTTGCAACCTTTGCATTCTCGCAGATAGCTGGGACACCTGGGACGTGGATCCCTGATACCGCCTCTGACATCCCTGATTCCGGTGATAGGATCAGCGGGGGGGCAGAAGAAGGATTGGCAACCTTGCCATCTTGGGGATTCGAACGTTGGCGAATCAAAGAAGGTGGAGGATGAGGACGATGGAGGGGAAGAATGGTCAGATGCAGGGGCCGAAAATGAGCGAGATGGCCGGCTGGAGAAGAATGAAACAGGAGCCGACTGATCACCCACATGTGATTCGGGCGTATTTTCCTCTTCCATGCTATCTTCTTGACGTGAATCGTCAATGAAGCTTTTGTTTGTCGAATCAAGAACATGTTGCCTTCCGAATACTATGTCGTATTCGGGAAGTTGACTAGAGATGATTGACCCCGAAAGACTTGCAGCGAATCGATTTTGAATGATTTGCTTTTCCGTCTCGAGATCTCGGTAACCGCATATCCTTAACCGAAGTCCGCGGAGGTCATGCTCAATGCAGAGAGGCTTGGAGCAGCTCTTGCAGTGCACCTTCCACTGTGGTGAATCGTAACATCCTTGACACAAGTTACGCGGACACGGTGAAACTTCCCGGTTAGGGGGTCCTAACAGCCACTTCATCATCGCCAGATGACCCGTTTCAAGCGAGTAGTCCGGCTTGCTCGGATCCCCATATGCATACTTGGGGAATGTCTTGCTCCATTCACTAACGGTGTACTCTAGGTCCTCCCAACCTTGGCCACGCGGCAAAGGCACGGCTCGTACCTGGTCCACCTCACCATTGCGAGGTCCGATGCTAATCCCGCCTCCCCCGGAGAGGTCAGGTTTGGTGCAGCACCAATGGAAATTGAGGATAGGCGGTGGATCCATCCCTGTACCCTGGGTTTGATGGGGATCTGCCAGGACATCCACGGGATCATGCATTGATCCCGGAGAGTGTGTGGCCCCAGGTGCCCACCAGAAAGAATCTGGCGCATTCTGCGCTTTTTCAGACGATGGTGTACTTCTGTGAAGATACGGCCGTTCGTGGGCACAGCTCGCACAGAGTGTCTTACGGCATCCGACACAGTGCATTAGAACGCTGCAATGTTCACATCGCTCTGAGATATCCTCGAGGCAGTTGTCACAGCGGATCTTGTCAACAA